CTGAGGGAATTGGGTTGGTTTTTTATTTTTATTTATTTATTTCTTCTTTTTTTTTGAATTGGAAATGGGCTGCCCAAAATTGGTCTTCAACTAGTAATAAAACGAATTAATATAATTAGACTATCGAGCTTCTAATAAATAAAATAAATTAATTTAATTATAAACTAATTAATTCAAAAAAATATAGACCACTATGACTGAACTAATTAACCAAATATTTAATTAAAACAAAATCTTTTTAGATGATTTTCAAATATATACTAATTATATACATAAAAACAAATATATTTCTAAATTATAAAAAGTGACAAACTAGTTAAATAACTTGCAAACATATATATATATATATATATATATATATTTTAATTTTATAAAACTAATTATTTTAAATCGTTTGAAATTGAAGAAACTCGATAATTAATATATATTGTGGAGGTCCAAATTGGGTGTCAACACCTATTGATCCCGAATTTGCATTGATGCTTAGTGCTTAGGCGTCATTTTCTTCATTATTTCGTATCAAGTTGAATGAATAAATACGACAAGCTTTCTAGTTCGCATATAGTACTTTGATCATAATGATCTCTCGTTGGATTCATAGGGAGGATTGTGCTATTTCCAATTACTTAAGCTGTTGTTAGTAAGTGTAGTTAGTCATCTAAGTTTCATTTTGTTTGTGTTGAATTCTTGCTGTCCATTAAGAAGATAGTTGAGGTGTTTGGTTAGTTTTTTTTTTTTGTATGCCAAGATGTCTCCTTTGATATTATTTAAGTTAAAAATAAAAAAAAATAAAAAAATGCTCATAAGTTAGATTTTAACATGTTTCTTTGATTTCTATGAAGAGAATTTTAAGAAGGCATGTGCATTGAGACTAATGTTAATGGTCATATTTGGGATTATGGATGACATATTTGTCCACGGCCTCTTGTGAATTCCAACTCCCGCTATGCTTTTAATTTGATATCATTGGGATAGTGATTTAAGATTTCCGACAGTATGATATACATGGAATGATATCTTGGTTGTTGAGAATCTGGTGACGAACATAAACTCGAAATATGGTTTAGATAAAATAAAAATTGGTTTGTTGTCAAGTGTAGCTTTTCCGTTGCTCCAATTACTTCTTATATTAGGTCCATAATGCCTTAATTTCTTGTTTTGCTTTAAGCTAAAATAAGTCGTTCTCAAATTAATTTATGCAATAGTCAATTTCTTTTTTTTTAAAAGAAGATCGAGTGTGACAATAGTTTCTCGGCATAGTATGTCTTGATTTAATTAAGTTAATAATAGAGGAATACCTTATCTTTACATGCTTATCCCCCAATTCTTGGTGTCTAAAGTTAGCTACATTGAATTTGCAATGAAAAATGCCAAATTTCCTTCGGTTTAAAAAATAGTGCATCAACTAATCCTCTCATTCCATTTACTAACTTGTACTCACTTGCTCACTATGTGTATGCTATTTCTCCTTCATGAGTAAATCATTTGATCATGTATATGTTGAAAGCTTTATCTCTTTTCTAATTCTTTTCATTCTCTTTGTGTGTATGTGATCCCTTTGAGTCCATGGTGGACTTATCTACCTTGCATTCCGAGTTAAGCCATAAAGGCTTGATCTTCGCTCTCCCTATGTATCGAGTCAGCCGGGCAAAGAAAACCGAAGGACAAGGCTGGAAAGTCAACATTACAGGTTCCGAAAAGTCAAAAAATGGGCTGTATACATGTTGTATACAGTGGTATACGCTGCTATGAGGGCCCAAAACGCATAGACAGAGGGCGGAGGCGAGATACATGTGTCCGGAAGCAAGAGATGCATGAAAAGAGCTGATATATATGCTCATATACACTGATATACGCCCAGTGTATACGCAAAAACGGGAATTGGATTCAAATTTGAAGGGGCCCAATTTCCTTATTTCTTTTACTATTTTAATTGTTTACTTATGCTTGACTAATTTTATTTAACTCTAACCATAGAATATTTTAATTAACCTATTTATATCCCCAAAAGATGAGCTATATTCTTTATGTCGGTAAAACTTTTTATCAATTCGTGTAATTTATTTGAAAAATCTTTAGTCAAAATTTTTACTTATCCTTCAATTAATTAACATAGTTTTCATATTTTAATTCGGTTCAAATCATTTTTTTTTAAAAAGTGAGTAAAATAAAATCAACCTAATTTCGTAAGAAAAAAATAAATTCTGATCACATTTAATTCAATGTTTCAATTAATGTCTTCTTTCTTATAAAATGTGTCACTTATTTAATTATTTTCTCAAAGTTAATCAAATATTGTAAGTTATTATTTTTTATGTTAAATCATTATTTTCCTTAAAATAGTCAAATATATTTTGTCAAGTCACAGGTCAACCGCATGTTAGCGGGCACTTCGAATGCTTAACCCCTTCTCGAAGTGTAAATTGAACCCCGAACCCTCTTTGGCATTTTCAAATGATTTTTTCTGTTTAAGTCTTTGAAAATTATAAGTTTTCTTAATTTCTTTAAAAAATTAAGTGACGACTCTTTTCTAAGTATTTTTCTGAAATTGTTTTATACTTAGAACATTTCAAAAGTGATTTTTCTAAAGGTCAGGAAAATTACGGCATAACACCCAAAATCTTCTCGCTCTGATACCAATAAAATACGTTCAAATATAGTAAAGCATGTTTAAAATTTATAACTAATAATCAGGTTGTTATAACTAATAATCAGGTTGTTTGTAAAAGTAAATAAAGGCTACGTTTGTAAAAATATGTTGTAAGGGCATCTCCAACCTAATCCTCTATTTTACTCTCCAAATATAGAGTTCTCTATTTTTTCAGACAACCAACTCCAACCCAATTCTTTATTTTACTCTCTAAAAAGGAATCTTTTTCTCTCTCCTCAATATTATATTATTATTTCTATTTCATTCTTATTTTCTTATTTCATAATATAAATCCTTTATTTTTTTTTCCCAAATAATTACTTTATATAATTTTTAATATGATATAAAATTATTTTTTATTCTAAATTTTTAAATAACATAAATTGCAAGAAAATATACATTATGTGCGGATAGGTTTTAAAATTGCGTAAAATGAATTATAAATTCAAAAACATGAGATGCATGTATTAGTGTTGTATACATTATGTGTGGATAGGTTTTACTCGATTAATATATACATATATAATTTTTTAGTCTAAAATAACTTTGAGATAATATGAGAATCTCATCCTACGGTTAAAAAATATGATGAAATTCATCCAATAGTAAAAATCAAAATTACATTCTATCCTATTTATCTACATAGTAATTTTATTTTATCTAAAGTAATTTTGAGATAAGGATGAAAATCTCATCCTATGGTTAAAAATATAGTGAAATCCATCCCATGGTGAAAATGAAGATTACACTATCGTATTAATATTTATAGATAATTTTTACTTATCTAAAAAAAATTGAGATAAGGATGAAAATTTCATCCAATGGTTAAAAAATTATAGTGAAAATCCAATCCCTATGGTATTAAAAAAGCAAAAAAAAAA